ATCGGGTATACAAGTCAGCTCCGTATACTTCCGGGAGATTAAAAATAGAACGATGATGTCATTCTAAAAATAGAACGATTATGTCATTCTAAAAATAGAACGATAATGTCATTCTAAAAATAGAATCCAATATGGCGCCGCGCATGCGCAGTCGTGCCCCCAAACCGGCGCCTATACTACTATTTTCCTTAAAAAGGAAGATAAAACATAATTATTATGATTTTTTTTGATGACTGTCAATTGATCGATAGATCATTATTTTTCCAGTTTTTTCCCTTTTGAATATATGATTGTATTATTTTATTAATTTTTTTTAATATCAACTTCATCGATAAGGTTATCATTTGTATCAGTTATAGTGGTATACTCACAATTATTTTAACATAAAAAATGTTAATTTGTAAGTTTGCACACAATTGTGTAAGACCGTCGAAGACCGTCAACAGGAAAGACCGTCGATTATAGTCAACAGTAGTTTTATAGTCGGTTACCATACAAATCGACGGTCTCGTGGTATTAATTTATGTAGCCGACAAATAAGCGTTTTCTCTAAAACGATAGTTTATTTATTGATGTCATTTTTTTCTGATTTGTAAATAACTAATAAGTTTAAAAAAAATGTTTAAACATTATTATCAGGGCAATAAATTGTTTGAAGACGAAGTGTCATAATTCCATGAATCTGCCAGGTACGGCCGGAATAGGTTGGAGAGACAGGAACGTATCTGCAAAGTATGTGGTATCAACGAAATTAAAGATGAATTTCATTTTGTACTTAAATGTAAAGCTTATAAAGAATTGCGAACTAGACATATTAAACGTTATTATTATGTTCATATAACGTGCTGGTTCTTTAAACGCCAACTTTCAATTATGATAATTTATTCATTCTCTAGCTGTGAAACACTGAAAACATGTTTGCTTATCACGTCCTTATCATTGCGTGTATTTAATTTAATGTTGAATTAACAAGATACATGTATTGTATACGTTCTGTTCTGATCATTAATCGACTGATCTCTCTCAGGCCCCTAGCTACGTTTCACGCTAGATTATTGCATAACACACAAATTGCGGTAACATACTCTAACAACTATTTATGACCCAGTGACATCTGCCCAATTAAACGCTGCTGATTAATGGTATTCCTGATTAATATCTATTATAGCAGAAATTTCCTTAACATACATCAGATGATGTTATTGTATTAAGCAGATCTCTTCGAATAATTTATCCTTAATTTATTTAACTTTTATAGAAATATTCAGGTTAGATAGTTTCACCCATTTGTTCATTGTATTTACTCATTACATTTTTTACGGCTGCGTTTTTATTGACGCTATACGTTATAAACGAAAAAATGTCAAATCTTCTTTAAAGTTTGGGACCTTATAATATTTAATGTGATTATGAACAGATAGAACGGTAATAAAAATGTGGATTTGTTTTAACCTTTTTCCTTTTTCAATGCATACAGAACGTATTATTTCCATTTGTAGATATTTATTGACTTTTGTATAATAAATAAACTAACTTACTCGATCTATCATTATATTTGGTACCTTTATTAATATACCGATTAATAGCTTTAAATGGAAAGAAAATTAAAATAATTTCATTCTAAATTACTTCTGCACCATTGTCTTAGACAAGTATTTTGTCTAAGGAAAATTGTGGACTTACGCATCTTAGTGTGAAACTGATAACGATCGCTGATTAGCTTATCTCTATGACCCCTGCCAGCTTGAGTGACAGGCGCAATGTCTTTTTTCTTCACATTAGCTGGTTTAATTTTACATTGTCTTTAAGTATATTTCTTGTTTGTATATAAATGCATTTTGTATATTTCCTTAACCATTATTTTGCCTTTTTCATTTGCCAATTCAACATGTTTGATTATTTTAAAGATGGTTTTTCTTTGCATTCAAGTAAAAAGTAGGACCTTATATTAACAGCTTTTTATGTGTTAAATTTTTATTCCAGACAGATTTTTAAAACAAAAAAATGTTCTATAAAGAAATCAATTTTAATAAATTTCTGAAATATTTTTTTGTAACTTTTGCAAAATTTATTTTAAAACAGTCTTTCACTTTTTCGCAATTCATATTATGTAATAAATCTCGTATAATAACCCTTTTAATCGACGGTTCTACCGTCGACGGTCTTTTGTTGTGAATAACTTTATGTATATTAAGTCAAAAATGTATTTATTTCATTAAGACAATTAATTGATCATTTTTCAATTATAACTGAATTAACACAACATCTAAATTCTATTAATATATTAATAATCATCAAAACATTTCATTTTTTTTTAATATTACTGTAATTTTTGCATTAAAAAATGCCCGTTTATCATTCTAAACTATTGAAATTAACCACTGAAAATAATAGTTTTATTGCCTATTTGTCAATCTGTCTTTCAAATTTAATTACGTATATAATCTGGAGACCGTCGATTTGTGTAATAACCTACTAATCGACGGTCTCCTACAATTGACGGTCTTCGACGGTCTTTGGAGACCGGGGACCGTCGAAGACCGGAGACCGTCGATTAGTATCCCCCCAATGAGATGTATGCATACTGCATGGCTAATCAAGGGCCATAAATCTGAGTTATAAGTGTCTGACCGGAACAAGGCTACTATATGGGTATCCCATAAAGTTTCATTGAATTCCAGCCACTTGTTACAGAGAAGTAGCACGGAAACAATTATTGATCTAGTTGTATACTGCATAAGTTATCAAGGGCAATAAATCTAAGTTAAAGTGTCTGACCGGAACAAGGGGACGATATGCCCATCTCCTCTTGGTATTGAAGGTTCCCGTAAAGTTTTGTTGAATTCCAGCCAGTAGTTGCAGAGAAGTAGCGTGGAAATGATTTTTACTCTATATCTATATGCATACTGCATAACTAATCAAGGGCCATAACTCTGAGTTAAAGTGTCGGACGGGAACAAGCCGACGATATGCTCTTCCCGTCTTGATATTTTAAGGTTCCCATAAAGTTTTGTTGAATTCCAGCCAGAAGTTGCAGAGAACAAGTCCGGAAACGAAATTCGGACGGACGGATGGATGGACAGACGGACGTTCTCACAGGACAGTAATTATGTGGATTCTCTATTGTTCTCTCTATTGTTCTTTTTAGCCACACAAAAGAAAATAGCCACATAAAAGTATTACGGAATGAATGACATCAAAGAGAAAGAACAGTTACCTATTGTCCCTCTAGCCACATAATTACTCTCCTGTGAGTGCGGTAGGACGGACGGACGAAAGAACGGACGGACGGAAAACGCCAAAACTATACCCCCCCTCCCAATTCCATGGCGGGGGATAACAATAACTGCAATATAAACATATATACGTGCAGAGGCTAGCCAGAGGCGGGCTTATCAGTACACAGAGACGTTCTTTCTATACTTTTTGGGGCATATTTAGCATATTTACCGCACAAACGTCTAATATTTCATTACAAAACATTTCATTCATACAAATCATTTAATAGCAACAAAATTACGCTTTTAAAACATTATATCAAAGATAAATCTCGTTTTTGTAGATCCGGTCTTAATTTCACTTTACAAGGCGATTTAAGGTATTTTCGTAAGTATGTATTTTCGGCTCAAACGTCACTTTTTAAGATTCTTTTGTGGTTCTGAATTTTTAATTTGCAGTATAATCTTTCAAAGAATGCATAAAGATATAATTAACAAAATTATTTTAACTGATACAGTCATACACTATATAAAAAATAAATCTCATTGAGCTATAAATCATTAAATTGGTATAAATGCACCATTAAAAGTCTTTTGTCTCCTTCACAGCATGTATTAATATTTTCGACAACATGTTAATTATCTTATGTCTTCTCTATTGTTAAATCACTGATCCTTCACAAAAGGCTTCTGAACCATGAAATAAACAACACAATCAATTTTGTTATCAACAATATACCCATAACTAATAAGCTCTGGCAGTTTCAAACGGGTCCCATGAGAAAACTTAGCATTTTTCGAAAATTCCTTTTTTATCGTTGAACATTTATGCTCAAAATCATCTTCCCCCATATACCTCAACTGGAATTTTGCATCAACAATACATGCCAAGCTTTCTTCTGTTTCAGGAAAAGTGCTTGACAATAAAACTGAAAGACAATCAACATTATTTCTATTAAAAACCTTGACAACAACCTCAAATGTAATATCCCATACAGACACAGGTTTGCTCCTTTTCAAGTCCTCTTTTGTAAGGTCTAGGCATGGTGAAAACGCTATCATAGCCCCTTTGCTACTCGTAAGGTCATGTGCTGATGCAGTTTCCTGTGTTAGATCTTTATGCATATATATTTTCACCAATTCTGTTCGAGCTGAATCCAACAATTCTCCTTGTTTCTTTAAGATATCTTTATGGAGTTCGAGCAGTGTTTCAGTGTCCTTTAGACCTGTGGGTTGTATTTCTTTCAGTCCAATATCGGATAGACGGGATGCACAAACATCCCGAAGGCCCTGAAAATTATGTTTGGTAGCCAAACTGTGGCAATGCACAACTTCTTTTATAGAAGCCCGTTCATTCGTTAAACGGAAATTGAGATATCTTTGGCATTTTTTCACCAATGACTTGACATTATATTCATCTGCCAATGGTAAGATCTTGTACACATTATTAGCGTCTATCTTCTTTTGTGTGTTAGGATACATGCAATGAAGAAACTCGTTGAAGTCTTCAGATTTCTTACCTACAAAATAAAAATACGAGTACATTAACTAGGACTGCTAAATGTAAGGAAAACCATCAGGGCCATCGTGGTTATACTTTATAATCTAGAGGATGACAATGCGACAGTGCCTTGACAACAATGTGATAGTACGATGGCTTTAATGCGATAAAGACAGTACAATAATGCCATGGTGACAATCGATAATGGCAGTGGAAAAACGCGATGACGACAGTACCATTGTGTGATGGCAACAATACGATCGATAGTTGTCGCTATCGCGGTATCGTAACTGTCGCCAACGTGTTATCGCACTGTTGTCATCGCATTTTCACACTCGTTATCGCACTGTCGTCATTGCACTATCGTTTTGTCACCATCGCGTTATCGCATTGTAGACTATCGCCTTCCAGTACACACACTCACATCCTTTTTTTGTATCTGATTGGGCGGTTCTACACTGCTGGCGATTAGGCTGACATTATAGAATATGGGAGGCGGAGCCTTTTTTTTGTTTCTTTTCTTCTTCTTTTTTGTCTGTTTGTTTTCCTTTTTGTATACTGGAAACTCTCAATAAAAAAAAATTAATTATATAATACGGTAAGTAACATTTTTATCCAAAGATAGGGGAAATACAGTGCCCTCCAAAAGCCTAGAGACAGTCATATAATATAAACAAGGGCCCTCAGTTGCCCACCAGAAACAACTGCTTTCATTTAAAGATAAAAAAACTACATAAGAATGCTACAGACAAAGTTTGATGATCATCCATCAATCAGTTCTGTAGAACCAGACGTTTAAAGGCTTTTCTATTTCTAGCTTTAGCGGCCCCTAAAAGGGGCCAATCAAATTGATATGAGCAAACTTGATAAAAGACTACCTAAGAATGCATATTTCAGTGGGAGATGATGTTCAAAGGTTTTTCTATTTAGCTTTAGTTTCCCCTAAGATGGGGCTATTTTTGGTAACTGGTGTACCTAGCACTTAAATATAGTACATAAATACATTGTATATTACGAAAGCCTAATAGTGTCAAATGAAATAAAAAATAAAAATGCAAAGGCGTTATTACGCGAATAAAGGCGTAATAACGCGATTAAAGGCGATATTACACGAATTAAAAGGCGTAATTACGCAAATCAAAAGGCATAATAACGCGAAAAAAAGCTTAGCAACGCAAATAAAGGCGAAGTTACGCGAATAAAGGCGTTATAACGCCAATTCAAAGGCATAATAACGCGAATAAAGGCGTAATTACGAGAATCAAAAGGCGCAATAACGCAAATAAAGGCGTTATAACGCGAATTAAAAGATTCGCGTTATAACGCAAGGCAAAGTCGTAATTATGCTAATCAAAAGGCGTTATCTTAAAGGCGTAATAACGCGAATAAAGGCATAATAACACAAATTAAAAGGCGTGATAACGCCTTAATTCGCGTTATAACGCGAATCCAAAGGCGTAATTACGCAAATCAAAAGGCGTACTAATGCGAATAAAGGCGTTATAACGCGAATCAAAAGGCATAATAACGCGAATAAAGGCGTTATTACGCGAATCAAAAGGCGTAATAAAGCGAATAAAGGCGTTATTACGCGAATCAAAAGGCGATATAATGCGAATAAAGGCGTTATAACGCAAATCAAAGGCGTACTTACGCGAATAAAGGCATTATAACGCGAATCAATAGGCGAAGTCACGCCTTTATTCGCGTTATTACACAAATCAAAAGGCGTATAGACGTCAATAAAGGCGTGTTAACGCGAAACAAAAGGCGTACTAACGCGAATAAAGGCGTTATGACGCGAAACAAAAGGCGTAATAACGCGAATAAAGGCGTTATTATGCGAATCAAAAGGCGTAATAAAGCGAATAAAGGCGTTATTACGCGAATCAAAAGGCGATATAATGCGAATAAAGGCGTTATAACGCGAATCAAAGGCATGCTTACGCGAATAAAGGCATTATAACGCGAATCAATAGGCGAAGTCACGCCTTTATTCGCGTTTTAACGCGAATCAAAAGGCGTAAAGACGTCAATAAAGGCGTGTTAACGCAAAACAAAAGGCGTACTAACGCAAATAAAGGCGTTATAACGCGAAACAAAAGGCGTAGTAACGCGAATAAAGGCGTTATAGCGCGAATCAAAAGGCATTATAACGCGAATAAAAGCGTTATAACGCGAATCAAAAGGCGTTATAACGCGAAACAAAAGGCGTAATAACGCGAACCAAAAGGCATAATAACGCAAAACAAAAGGCGTTATAATGCTAATTTAATACCATATAGATTCCAAACAGTGGCCTAGTAATGTAAGATAGGAAGAACAATTTGATCTATATAAATCGATCAATAAGAACGTTTTATTTTCAATTCTGTACGGATACGTCCTCAGGCCTATTACCTATAGCTTAATTAGGAATGGCATTCACATAATTAGAAGATACTAGATGTTATATTAGGTAATCAAATAGGATATATCCGAAGATAATTGAACATATGACGCACATATAAGATAAGATATAAGATATAAGATAAGATAAGATAAGAAAAGAAAAGAAATTCATTAACTATAGTGGCATGTGTAAAATCAATATGTGATACATGTGAATTCAGATTAACTGTATTTACGTCCAGTCCAATGGACCTATAAGGCACCAAGACACCTTAAATTGGCAAATATTAAAGAGTCTTCATTATGACAAATAGTTTGCATTATTACTGCGCAAATGGAATGTTAGTTATTGTAAATGTAAATTATATTATTCTATACGAGTTTATATCTTGAGCAATAAATTCAGATCAATATTGGTCTTGCTTTCTCGCGTTACCAGGCCATTTGATTAGTATAAATATGGTATTAAATTGGCATTATAATGCGTTTTAATTTGCGTTAGTACGCCTTTTGGTTCGCGTTACAACGCCTTTATTCGCGTTACTACGCCTTTTGATTCGCGTTATTACGCCTTTTATTTCGCGTTATAACGCCTTTATTCTCGTTATTACGAAATTATTATTGAAATAAATGCTATATGCTAGAATTATCAATCATGTTTTATTCTTCAGGGATTTGTAAAACCTTTTTTGCAATCAAAACATCAATAAATAATCTGTTTTGTTCTTCAAGGGTTTGAATTAAGTTTTTTGTGTACAGTTTGTAACACCATTTTTTGCAAATTGCACATGCAAGATGTACATGCATTGTTAATAAAAAAAAAATTTCTTATATTACACACATGTTATATTGAAATAAAAAAATGTGAAAAAAATGTGTATATTATATATATTCATCAAATCTTGCCCAATAATTAGTAAGTGTGGGGTTTTGTCCACTCTGTAAAATTTAGGTGTGGGGTTTTGTCCACTCTATAAAATTTGTGTGGGGTTTTGTCCACTCTATAAAATTTGTGTGGGGTTTTGTCCACTCTATAAAATTTGTGTGGGGTTTTGTCCACTCTGTAAAATTTAGGTGTGGGGTTTTGTCCACTCTATAAAATTTGTGTGGAGTTTTAACTGGTGGGGTTTTGTCTGTCTTCCAAATAGATACCCTTCTGCTAAACTAGAACTCCGCAAGTTTGATGTGTCGCCTTGTGAACATGATAGTTTAGGAGAAATGGCCAGGACAAAAATGAAATATGAAAATTAAAGGGCAATAACTCAAAAAATAAGAAGTGCAGAGCAGCAGTTTCTGTGCACTGCAATTCTTATCATTCTATCTATCATTCTATGAAGTTTCAAGTCCATATCTTTTATAATTTATGAGAAATGGCCTGGACAAAAATAAAGAATGAAAATTAATAAAGGGTAATAACTCAAAAATAAGAAATGCAGAGTACCGCTTCTTGTACACTGCACTTTTTCTTAATGAGATTTATCATCCTATGAAGTTTCATGTTCATAGCTTTCATACTTGAGGAGAAATAACCTGGACAAAAATAAAGTATGAAAATTAACAAAGGGCAATAACTCAAAAAAATAAGAAATGCAGAGTACCGGTTCTTGTGCACTGCACTTCTTCTTAATGAGATATATCTTCCTATGAAGTTTCAAGTCCATAGCTTTATATACTTTTGGAGAAATGGCCCGGACAAAAATAAAGTATGAAAATTAACAAAGGGCAATAACTAAAAAAATAAAAAATGCAAAGTAGACTCTACCGGTTCTTGTGCACTGCATTTCTTCTTAATGAGATCTATCATCCTATGAAGTTTCAAGTCCATAGCTTTTATGGTTGAAGAGAAATGGCCCGAACAAAATTAAAGTATGAAAATTTACAAAGGGCAATTATTCAAAAAATAAGAAGTGCAGAGTACCAAATTTACAAAGGGCAATTATTCAAAAATTAAGAAGAGCAGAGTACCAGTCCTTCGGGTTATTGAAAGATGCATACCAAGTTTGAAGTCAATCCGACTTATAGTGACTGAGTTATAGGGGACGCCGACTACGACGCTGATGCCGTCAAAAGTAACCCCTATATGTCGCCTTTGCAATGGCCGGATGACTGAGCTAGAGGCTAAGGAAACCATGGTAGATCTATATGAAATTAATTTTATTGTAAAATTTTATTTACCTGGTAAAGGTATTTCTTTTACTTCACTTTCTCTGAAGTTTGTTCCAAACATTGCTTCAAACACGGACGAGGCTATGGCTAATATGGCCTTAGTGGCATAAAAACGCTGGTCTTCCACGAGGAAAGTGACATCATCCCGCCAAGTCTTCATCGTGAAGTCATAGCTCTTCATTTCTTCATCTTCTTCGCCACTTTCAATCTGGTTAATCATGACTGTACGAAATTTCAACATAAAAATTAATGAACTTCGTACATAGCGCGCTAGCGTAGGCCTACAGTAATGGTTCTACAATGTTTGTACAGAAAAATGGAAACTCCTCTAAATTTCCCAATCTTTTAAGGTGATTCCGCTTTGTCAGCTATGTTTGTTTTCACTAAGTGGGTCCAAAGTGAAAGTAGGCCAAAATTCATATAACAACTGTATTTTTGGGCCCAGCTGGGGGGCTGCAGCCCTGAAGCCCGGGCCTGAATCCGCCACTGCAACAAAGCTCATAAAACAGACTTAAAACTGGATTTTGCCATTCATGAAATGGAATGTCAGACGTTTCACTCCCAAGACGTTTCACTATTTAGACGTTTCGCTACCAAGACGGTTCACACCTAGACGTTTCACTCCCATTTTGTCAATTGTATGGACGTTTAACTCCCAATTTTTAAGAGATGTTTACTAGGAAACACTAAATTTAAATTTCATTAATATAAAACAGTGTATAAAGGAAATTCAATTTAATTTTTCATTTGTGATTTCAATGGTATTGTTAATACGAATTATTCGAAGATCACTCATTTAATTATGGGTTGAGTGATTAGAGGTGTAAATGAAAGACAAATTTCTGAAGTATCACTTTTATTATAAGTGTAACAACATGAGAAAATTCTGTTTATAGTAAATAAAAAAAATAATAGAATAACATAGAAAGAACAACAAAGACATATTGTAAGTATCAATTTAAATATTGAAATCAATAACAGTAAACTAAAGTATCTGATATTATTCAAATAATAGAAAATATCAATATATTAAATATATTATATAATGATTATTTTCATTATAATGGATATAATGATTATTTTTTGTAAGTCTTAAACAATGAAATGCGAAAAATGTGTATAAATTTTTTTTTTAATTATTTTCTTCATCAATTTATTAAACAGTAGCCATTAAACAAATTTAAGTAATTGTGGTGTTATCTCATCGCCTAATTAGTTAAAATAAACACTGAGACAATCAACTAACAGTTTGATACCACTATTAAATCAGTTGTATAAACACTGCACTTAAAGCATCAACAGTTTACTAATCAGTGGTTTATTGGACCATTTAAATATTTTTTGAAAACAGCCAATTTAAACAATGAAACTTCTCCATAAGTTTTGTTTATATAATAATGAATTTTAGTCACAAAAATGATTATACATGACAAATATTGAAAAAAATCCCAATGCTTCTAATTTAATTTAAAGATATTTCTGATCGAAATTTTGACATATATCACAAAAGCACTAAACTTAAGCTTTAAATAATTTAATATTTTTTAACCCATGTTTAAAATTAACAACAAAAAAACCACTTTTCTCAAAGTTAATTGCTGTCACAAGATTGGTATGCTTTAAATAAATTAAAATTGCCTACTGAGTCCATGTTTACAAAAGATCAATTAGTTAGTTATATTAAAGTATTAATTTAATCAAAAATGCTTTTTCATTAAGTGAAATAATGTGATAATTGCACATATGGATCAAAGTATAGGAAATCACCTTTATTTCAAAACAACAATGAAGAAGATAAGATAACTGAAATGATAGAACTTAAAGTGCTGAGTTTAAAGTCATAGACAAAAAAGTGAAATCCCCCTTTTTATTTATTTTTATCTAATTTAAGGTCTACTTTAGTTCAATTCAATATAGTTCAATATTTTTGGTCTATTTTAGTATATCATAAGTATCAAAATAATTTTGGTATAAAAAGGGAGTGAAACGTCTTGGTGTGAACCGTCTTGGTGTGAACTGTCTCAATAGTGAAACGTCTGTCTACCCATGAAATGTGCATAAAACTTTGCAACAGATTGTACTTGGTCTTCAGAAATGTAGCACATTCAAGGGAAATTTTCTTATTGTTGTCATTGAACTTTCAAATGGTTTACATTTTACACTGTGAGCTTTGTTGTTATATGAATTTTGGCCTACTTTCACTTTGGACACAAACATGGCTGACAAAGCGGTATCACCTAATAATCGCGCAAATAATTGGGTCTTGTATTTATTTTAAAGAAAAGGCGGTTATCTATGCGAATACGATTTTAAAAATACAAAAGAAAAGATATATTGTTAACAAGCTGTATTATCTAAAATAGACCTACTATTTTTTTCCTGGCACCGTACTGTAAATTTCATCTAACAAAGGGTGATACTACACGCAAACAGGACATTTCGGCCCCAAACTATTCGGACCCTGTGCAAAAATCGGCCCAAAAAACGTTTCGGCCCTTTTCCGCGAGACGTTTCAGTCCTTTTTAATTACAGTTTTTTTTATGCAAAAAGGGAATTTTTATGCTTAAAATCGTTAAAAATTTTAGTATATTGATTGATTGATTGATGGCACACAAACAATTATGATATTTTAATTGATAATCCATTATAATTTATATATCTATCAATCGCTATTTAGATAAGTGCTTTTTTCAAGATGTAACAAAAACTACAACTTAATAAAAACACTCAATCTTTAATTTATAAGACATTTGATAAATGCAAAAACTTTTT